GGGGGGAGGGGGGGGCGGTGCAGGTTGACGAAAGGTAAATGCTAAGTCTACCTGGTTCTGATTTTTCAGAGTACTTGGCATTACGGCGTTCTTAACATGTTAAAAGCAGAGCTGTCATTAAGCTCAACTGCTGGACTAAATGTTTTGCATTTCTCCACCCGTCTTAAGTTTGGGACCCAAAACACAAGAAACATGTACCCATCACCTGAGAAAGTATTGCTGCCCAGCACCACTAGTAACTCTGCAGTAGACACAGGGATAGAAACTGTTCTTAAAAGTGACATCCAACTGCCTTACACAAAGGGCCATTCCTTCCCTTCCTGTATGGCTCTGCTTCACGACGCACCTTCCAACCTCAACAAATGAAATGGGGCTTTGTAAGGAAGCTGTGTAGCATATGGAGGCTGTTCGCTATACAGTCTTAAATGTTCCCAGACTACAACATATCCTATAAACTTAATGAGGCCTCTAGGGAGTGGAGGGGAGAGGGGAGGCAGAAGTAGCTGACATTGTAATTTAAAGACTACCATATTGCGCACACACAAGGTGATCAAATTAAGGTTGCATAGACCATCTTAACCCTGGCAACTTCTGATTTCCAATTTCTTGATTTGAAACCTTCAAACACCTTAAATATAAGAAGTGTTTACTAGTTCTGTTCACTTCAGAGGAGGATATACTTGACTGTCTTTAAAGAAATTAACCTGAAAAAAAAGATTCCATCATGCAAAAATCATACTACCCCACCACCCCAGCCCGCAAGTGTGATAATCAGGATTAATATCTTCAGATTCACAGCAGGATCCTCTCCCTAGTACTTGAGTTAACAAGTGTAACTGGCAGCACTAAAGAGCAATAGAAAATTCTTGCTTTCTGTATGGACCAGCACTGGAGGGGAGAGCGATAAAAAGGAGTATTTTAATCATTATTTATTAAATTTATACGTTGCTTTTTACAGAAAGTCTTCAAGATAAATTATAGCAACAAATAAAACATTAAAAATAGAATAATGTAATAAATTACATACTCCCCAAGCAGCAATAAGGTATTACGTTATAATAGTAAGCAGTGTGAGTTAAAAGTTCATGTTCAGTGCGAGGCCCCCCTACACTTGCTTAAACTAGAGCTGCTAATGCGACTTAAACCTAAGTCATGTCCATTTTAACCAAAGATAAGAACAGACCTGCTTTGCAGTGCTGAGATGCACCATTACAGGCAGATACTGGTCTTATAGCAATAGCATAAATTTCTGAATATTATCATTTCTAATCAGCATTATCCAGAACTGCCTGCTAATTAACAAGAATGAATAATCTATACACAACTAATATAAACAATATAAGCTGTCCTATCACTGTGGTTGACTAAACTAACTAAACAGACCTAAGTTGACACAGCAAGCTGAAGTTGCAAATATGCAATTTCATTGGTGTCGAATTGTTCCCTTTGAGAAGGTAATAATTACATTCTTGCCCCTAAAACTCTAATAACCAAGATGACTGCCCTTGCAATTATACTGCCTAATTCACAGTAAGCAGTGATTTGTCCAAGGAAGATACAATCACTGCCCTCGGGAGGGAAAAAGGACATAAACGAAGACACGGTAACTGAGACAAACACTGGCAAGTGCTTCCTGCAAATTTAACTATTCTAGTTCAAGTGTCTACCAGGAGAAGTTCCAACTTCTGTCATTCAAGTTTCCTGTCCAATCAAACCCAATTAAGCAGAAAGTAAGGACAATTTGTATAATTAGTCAGTCTTGAAATCTTTCCCTTTTTTTTTTTTTTTTGCAGGAATATCATTTTATGAGAAAACCTGGATAATATACAGTTTGATCTATTGAAGGAATAGAATATATTTTCTGTTATTGCTTTAACATGCTCAACATTCATGGCTTCATACTAGCACTAATTGCCATACAATCTGAACAAACCTAAGAAAATTTCAGAGAAAAATCAAGTGAGATGGATAATAAGACGACTGAATGAATGAAGCTAAGATCTGTATATTCTGTTAATACCTTTGGGACAAATTATCAGAGCCCATAAAGATAATGCAAACATTCTAATCTAATAAAAGCCTTATCACTTTGGTCTGTCGGTCCGTAACGCTCCGGGCCAACTGCGCATGTGCAGCCCGGAAGACAGACAGATAGACAGGTGGAGGTGGAGCCGAGGCAGGTGGGGCCAGGCTGTGTGAAGGGAGGCATGGCTTGCAACCATGGGGAGGGGAGGTGGCGTGCCACCACAGGGTGCCACAAGGGGAGCAGGTAGGGAGGCACGGGCAGAGCCCACCAAATGCAGCACACAGCCGCAGGGCGGGGCACATCCCCCACACCCGCTCCCTGCACAGCACCCTGTGGCCACACAGGGATCGGGCATGGGGGGCACATCCCTTCCCCGCACTCTCCGCCATATGCAGCTGGCGGGTGCTTCTGGGGCAGGGGGGTAGGGCACGCGGCCGCAGGATGCCTTGAGGGTAGTGGGCAGGGGGCCGTGGGTAGTGCCCTCTGGCTGTAGCACGCGGCTGCTGGATGGGGTGTCCCCTGACTGCTCCCTGAAGCCAAACCCCACCCCCGCACACAGGGAGCATATGCCCAGGCACACTGCCTCAGGGTGGCAGGCAGCACGCATGCAGGCAGCACCCGTCGAATGCAGCCCGCGGCCACAGGGTGAAGCATGTCCCCTGTGCTTGCTCCCCACACAGCACCCTGGAGGCATGGGCCACACCCCTCCCCATGCCACCGGCTGCAGGGCACGCAGGGGGTGGCAGGGCACACACGTGCGTGTGTGTAGCTGTGTGCGTGGCATGGCATGGCATGTGGCTGTGGCATCTGGTTGGGTGGCTGTGAGGTGTGGGGGGGGTGCATGGGCTTGGACAGAGTAGGGAGGGAGTGGGAGAGTTGCACACGGACAGACGCAGAGGCGGCAGCGTGGGGCGGTGGCACTCTGTCCCCGCCGCCCGCCCATCATTCTTGACAAGCACTTTGTTAGTTTACAATACAATCATTAACATGGAGAAACCTTCATTAGCAACATTTCAATGAGACCAACCTACAGTTTGGCTGCAGGACAATGTGTGCAACTTATTACTAAAGATTATTTCCTTGAGCAGATGGCCATATTTTATTCCATGTCTCCTCTGATGGCAAGAAAATAGGGAAGGGAATGATTAGAACAGTTATGCCCAAACTCGGGTTTTATGTAGTTACCTGTTTAACAGTGGTGCCTAATGAACACTTTGAAGAGGATGTTGACTCTGTAACAAAAACATCCTTCTGCTATAAAACACATCTTAGTATACACCCCTTGAGACTCCAAGATGTTAATCAATAAAAATCAGAGATGATCAGAGTTAACATTTTTCATATTTCTAGGGTAAAAATAAAACCAACAAAATGAAATTCTGAACATTTTTGGGAATTCAAATGCATCATAAAAACAAGGACACAAATCCTCTTTTAAACCTCAATGTATGTGTTCTATTTCACTAAATTGGATGATACTCCATAGTAATTATATTCCCCGATTATAACAGGCAAACTTTTACAACTACAAGCAGAAATATAAAATAAACACCAAACTCTTCATTTATTCCAAGTGAAATGTCCACCTAACTCCATTCATACCTTGGCAAAGAAGTACTGATCTGAAGCCTTGGCAAAGCTGGAATGACTTCTACCGTACATCCATTAGTCTTCAATCCTGGCAGATTATCCAAAAGGCAATCGCTGAAGACTCCAAAGACTGAAGTGTGATATCCTGTTTCGAAAGGGAAATAGCTAGTTTGTCTTGGGTTATTTGTTTCATGAAAGGATTGAATACACAAGTTTAATGATTTAATGCTACAGATGATTTGCTGAGAGAAGGCAACCTCTGCTATAAAAATTCTTATTGGGAGAAGACCATGTGACAAATGTTTTGAAATCCTCTGCTGGACTCTTTATATGTACAATGTGTCATGCAAATATCATGAATTTACAGCCACAGTGAAAGCAGGTGAGCTGTCAACATCTGTCTATATTTTGTCATATATGCGATGGTGTTTTCTACTTTTATATAATATATTTATATATATAATAGGTCAATATACATTATATTCTCCCTCAGAGCATGAGACCTCAAACTTATCCATCAGGAAAAAAAATAATTTACGACAATCCAGTTTAAAAGAAAAGATATATATAAGATAACCCTTCTTGTGTTACGACTTCCACTGGCATTTAATCATGTTTTACTGAACAGTTATAGTTAAAAAAATATAAGTTTTATTTCAATTTCATAGGCAATTACCTCAATTCTATTTGGTGAAGAATCAATATCTACTACCTAGACATGCAGGAGAACTCTTGTGCTGAACAATGAGATGACAAAAGGGGAAGAGATGTGAGTGATAAATGAGCACACAGGGACAATTCACTGTTGCTTTACTTTAATGGAACCTCATTTTGGTTCAGACAGTAACAGGATAAGAAAACAAATAGCAAGAACTTTTGCAGAATCCATTTGGCATTGTTTTCTGAAAGGAGAGAGAAACTTATTTTGGCTATGGCTATGGCTACAGCTGCCTCATTAAATATTCTAATATGAATTTTCTAAATAAGGTTGAAATAAAATTTAATTTCAATTCCAGGATGTTAACACACAGTTTGGTGTAAAAAAACAAAAACACCCAGGTGGCTTATTTTAGTTTGACACGAACTCTTTCAAACACTTCAGTTTTCTTTTATTACTGAAATATTTTACAATAAAAAAAAAAAGTGATGGGCACAGAAAATGAGAAAGCAAGAAAGAGGAGATGAGTGAAAACAAAGGGAAAACGTATCAAATGGAACAGGGACTTACAGGGGAAAGAGAAAGCCTGAAAAATAAGTACTTTTTCGTATTAGTCTTATTTACTCTGATAGATCACTTTCCAGGATAATTTTTAAATCATTCTCCACGATAAGAATTAAAATGTACATTTGCCTCAGTATTGGTTCACTTGTCAAACTCCAGCATTTTACTTAAACCTCTTTTTCCTGGAACCCAACATTAATGTATCAATCTTTCTTCCACCAAACTCAGGACCTTATAAAGTACCTTTTCATTTCATTTTGTTTCCTATTTCTCATTATCGCTATTGCTTTTCTTAAGTTTATTAATGATGCGTTCTCTTGTATTACAACACACTGTATGCTTTAATATAAAAATTTCTGGATAAGAAACTTACAATACATATGGCAATCTTATCTGATTGTTTCATTAATATAATGTCAACTGCAAGATTCACCTTGCATTCTCTGAATGCATTTAAAAAAAGGCAATTTTCTCAATGGCAGGCCAAACTAGTAATCTGCTAATACAGTACACAATTTTCTAATATTTAGTTCTTTACCTCTCCATTTCCTCTCAGATTTAGGATCTTATTGTAATAACAGTAAAGAATAGACATCTAAAAATAAAGTGATGTATTTCTGAGCGTCATGGGTTATTAACTCACACTATGTAATACTACCTTCTCTACTGAAAGAATATTACCTTCTTTATTGCAAGTTCTTGTCATATACCAACTTTCTGGAGGATTCAGTGTTGGAGATGCGAAATAAATCCTAATTTAAATTACCCAGTCATCAGGCAAATTAATTAAACTCTGTAGCTACTTCCCTTATGAGAACCATAAAAACATAACCCTTACCATTAATAGTGATCTGCCCAGTGGTTTGAGGAACACCCAGCAGGAAGAGAAAGAGCAGCAGGAAGAGATTCAAATTCTACTCCAGCTGTCAGGAGACCCTGGGGGAAACAAATGCTTATTTTATCTAGAGACACTGAAACATTATTTTAATGCTATTTTGTGTACTCCAAGACCCACCTGATTTGGCATATTTTATGTACTTTATTAAAAACAAACTACATGTCCAAGATAATGAATGAAATGAACCTGAAATGCGGTTCAGAATAATTTACATTTACGTTCACCGAGTCGAAACGGAAGATCTGTGCAGCGAGATAAAAGCACTTACAACATTAAGACCACATACAAACATTATGTTTCCACTGGGAGAATCACTGCTCTCAGTAGAAGTTGCCAGCATACGGGTATTCATTCAGTTCCACCCAGAAGAAACACGCCTCATCCAAGAGGAAAATCTTCTAGACTGACACTTAGACGATCTCCCCTGCAAGAGACAGTCTCCCGCTAGGATAAACGCTTGTACATTTGATGAGCAGCTTCCAGCGTCTTCCACAGACTAGAAGGAGCAGAAAGCGTTTCCAAGCCACCCCACTCTCCCTGGGGACCAGGAGCAGTGAAGCAGCAGCTGTTCCCCATACCTTCCCCAGACAAGGATCACCCCAGTCTGGGGAAAGTGTAAGGAAAAGGAAAAAAGGAGGAAGCAGCAGAAGAGGGAAAAAGGGAGAAGCTGCAGGCTGGAACTCCTATACATGGCCTCTCGTAGGCCAGGGACAGAGGTTACACATAAACCGGTTTAAGTGATCAGAAACTGGTTTAAACCTGTAACAGAACATGGGTTCAGTGCACATAAACCAGTTTCAAAATGTCCAAAACTGGTTTACAATAAACCTGGTTGAATGTAGTACCAGACTTAACTGATTTGAGTCAAACCAATTTATAGAACTTGGGTCCCAAACCGCTTCCTGGTTTAAGTTAAATCAGAGTCCCCCAGCATCCCAGAATGCTTTCCAGCCCTAGGCTGGGCTGGGCTGTCTGCTCCAGAAAGCAGGACTGGCCCCACGCCTCTCCTCCCTAGCTGGAGGTTCAGGTGGCTGAGAAGGAGATGGAGACTGCAGCTGGGAGACAGTAGCATCTTCCTGGCTTCCCCCTGCCCCCACCCTCACCACTCAAGCAGGGATCCCCCCTCTCCCACACCACAGACCCCAGTTGGCATCTGGTCATGGTCACAACACCCCCATGCTAGCTAATGCTGAGAGGTGTCTATGTGTTTGTCTCTCCAAATTCACTGGAACAAAGGCAGACAAAACAGTATCTACTTAGGGCTTTTTGGAGCTAAATCAACAGGTCTGCTGGTAATGTCCCTCCATTCTTTCTTAAAATGCTTTGCAAAAAGTTGTTTAAGAAGAACCTGAATTAATGAGATAAAGGCTTTGTTTTCTCGATGAGCTGATAAGCTCTGTGTTCTGATAAGCTCCTTGCTGGCTGTTGCCTTGCTGTCAGTGTTCAACGGAGAGAGAGGTGTCAGAAATGACCTGGTTTGCAATGAATGCAGTGCCTGTCAGTTTGCTGCAGCCAGTATGAAGCAGCAGGGAAAGGGAGACTGAAAAGCCCGGTATCATCAAAAGCTGCATGCAGTCCACACAAGCAGTCCTCCTTCCCCACCCCGCCACTGCCGCAGAGTGCTGGCTGAGGGCTGGGGTCTAGCAACACTGCCCGCCGCTTGAGCAGCAAGTTGGGAGAAAAAGTCTGATGAGAGCAGATTCCCCCTCCAGGCACACCCTGGCTGGGAACTGTGCAGGCCAGGGTCGGGGTTTAAATCCCTCCCTAATCAAAGCATCCTGCCAAAGCTTGGCCACCCTCCCCTACTCCTCTCAGCTCAGTACTGTACAAGGGAAGGGAGGGCTCGCTCTACTGACCCCCAGCTTCTAACCTGAGCCACTGCAGACATGTGCCTACATTTTCTGAATCAAAAGTGAATATCTACTAACTTGCAAGTCGGCTCAGTCTCTGCAGGTTAAACTAACCTGCAAAGACTGAATCAACTGAGGCTTGGGCTTTGTGAATGTCTGTCCCTAGCCCCAGAAACCTCTAGCACTAGAAATGAACATCTGTTCTTACCCAAACTGTACACTCAGCAAGCTTATCTGCTTTCTGAAGCCTGAATATGGTATACAGAGTGACCCACAAACCAAAGACAAAATAAAGAAGACAGCTCAGTATTTCTAAATGTGGCAATACTTCCCCTATCAAATGACTAACACGTCAGTTTAAGTATTAAACAGTTTTATTATAATCGCTATATCTCCGATATTTTGAGAAATATACAAACATCTCTAAATATATGACAGCACATATACTTAAATTCAAAATAATAAAGACATCAATGCAAGGTTTTTAGCCCCATAACATCATACAACACAACCTAATTAAACTAAGCAGCATTAGAAACACTTTCACTGAAACTCTGAGCTTTGTTGCATGATAATTTTGGGTGGCTCCTGGAGCTCTTAAACCCTGGGTTTTTCACACATTAACACTTTAAAGTGGCTTAAAGCACTCATTATGTGGCTCAAAGTTACACCAATGCAGGGCAGGATTCTCTCTTGATCCACACACCCCAGCTGCTGTTCCATTAAGGTGCAGCCGCTCCCCACAAATGCACCGCTCAAGTCGGAATTTGGAGCAGTTACACTTCCAAGCTGGTACTAAGCTGATCTACATTTGCACACCTTAAGGTCTAAAAAGTAAAAGCCAGCAACGCATAGTAAAAAAAAAGTTGAAAGAGGCAGGAAAGAAATTCCCAGGGGTAGCAGACAAACAATTATCAGAAGAAAAGAAGCTGATTACTGGGAGATCAAGGCCTGTCCAAAGGGAGAAGGGTCATTATCGCCTTTCATGGGAAGAATTCAGGAATTGGGTTTGTTTTATGGTACATTATAGAGCGTTAAGTCCTTGGTTCTTAAGTGCTCAGACAGTTTATAACAATTTTGTTCCTAAATTTGCATTCTAAAAGGTGTTAGGTGGATTTGCCTTGAGCACAAGCACAGCAAGATCTTGAGACGGGGAGTAGTTGTTCTGCAAGAAATGTCCTCCTAATGGTATATATCTGTGTCTCTGTCCTTTATCTTTATCTTTAACATTTAGTGTTTTTTAAATCCTTATGCCCCTCCTTCCCCCAAGTATCTCTTTTCTCAACTGAATAGGACTAGCCTCTTTAGTCCTTCCTCATATGGAAGGCCCTCCATACCACTAATCATCCTTGTTGCTCTTCTCTGGACCTTCTCTAGTTCTTCTATATTTAAGGTGCAATGGGAACCAGCCACGAAATTATTACACATTTTGTGTAATAATTTTGTTTTTATTTCCCTTTCATCTTGCCACTAATTGTCTAGATTACTATTTAAAATGCAATTCACTGGTTAATCATATTTTAGGGCCTTGTAACACATTAATTATAGCCAGCACAGGGTGCTCTTAACTCCTGTGTTGTCCACATACTGTGACATGTAAACTAGTTTTAGACACCCTTTAGGTCTTTTAAAGTTATACCACTCCAGGGCAGCTTTATCTCTGATCTGTGTTACCAAGCTTGTGTTCCACAAACATGTGGCCACTCTCCAGAGAAAAGCTGCCCAAGCTTCAGTCCTCCAGAATCCTAGGATGCAGTGCCCACCTCCCTCCTCCCCCCACCGTTCTGCATGGACAAGCTTTTTACCCCCTGAACTATACTTCCCAGGGGAAGATACTAGCACCAAGCCAATCCCTCTCCTGCCCCCAGCGGTGTGACCTGGCCAGGAAGCTTATAGGGGCACAAACCAATCCAAGACAGAGGGCTAGGGACGGTGCAGGCAGGGGGAACGGTAAAGGGCCAAACTGAGGCTTCCCTCCAAGGACAGGGGCTGTGTCCCCTTCAGCTAGGGCTACTCAATCCCAATCCCAATTTATTCAAACATGAGACTTTCTTTAATTTACTTACTCTACTACTTTTATTTTTTCTTTTTTTTCTTTTTTTTACTACTTTATTTTATCCTTTAGTGGTTTCAGTGGCTGACTTCCTTCATTTCATCACCCAGCCCCCCCACTCCCACCCACTGCATCTCCACTTCCCACTTCACTACATAGTCCTCATCATTAAACTTCCTCCTTCCTGCCTCCTGCTCCAGCCCCACCAACACATCTCTCCAACCTACCTCTGCCTAGGCTGGAATGGAAGCCTGTCCTGGGCCACCAGCCCTGGAGTAGCAACTCACAGCTCCAGCTCCTACTCAGGCCCCTAGTCACCAGCTCTCTACTGGCAAATCACAGCTGTGCAGGTCGGGGCAGTCAGAGAAATACTAAGCTTCAATGTGTGATTACTCTAAACTCAAGCTAACAATAACGCTGATCAAAATTTTAGAAGCTTAAAGCATAATGTGTACCAAAGCCCTTAAACATAACTTCTGCCAGGAGCCCAGGCAAGAGTCCTTTGATTAAGCACTAGGTAGAAGATGAAAATAGAGAATTACCATTCTGATAACCCTTACTTTTGACTAAAACACTTAGTCATCATAGTAAGACCTTGAAACCAATGCACACAAGTATTTTAACTAGGAAAAAGTCCAGACTTAGGCAAGTTTGATAAAGAGGACACCATTCTCGCTAGCGGGAATCAAGATGAGATGCACAACAATTTCTTTTCTTCTTTCATTATTTTAATATTTTATTAATTACTGTAAATTCAAACAGCTAAACTTCAAGTAAGGAATTAACTTCTGAAAGTCTTTTTTTTTCTTGCAAATTGCATTCTATTCTAAATTAATTTTAATAATAATAATGCATATACCCATAAAATGCCATTTTTAATCACATCCCCAGTACAGAGGTGAATATTAAGAAACCCAGCTCCTAAGAGTCCCTAGGAGTCACAAAGTAGGCATCCATGTCCCAAGACTTTCAGAAGTCTGATCAAGCAGGTGTGCTTGCCTATCGCATACAGTCAGTACAGAGCACACAACAGTCATTTTCATTCCAAAAAGGAGTGGGGCGGGGAGGATGATCCTTACGTAGTATCTGAGGGGTTAGACTGCTCACCCAAGAAAATTCACCCTGTGCCCTGGGC